CATTGTTGTGAGCATTTCTGTTGAGGATTGGCAGCGGGGGTGGGGTGGGGGGGTGTTTGGTTTTTATTCCCCCCCGTCTGCTGGGTGGTTGCAGCAGGTTTTGGTCACTTCACATGACCCTGGGACACTGTGACCGTCATAAATATGAATCAGTTGCCAAGCATCTGAATGTAAATCACAAGACCCTGGAGATGCTGCAACATTCCAGCTGATCGGTGCTTCTTCTGGGCTCAGCAGAAGCGCCAGGATCAGCGCCGAGCATCCAGCTGGAGCCTGGCGCTGATCCTGGCGCTTCCACTGAGCCCTGACAGCCCCTGAAGAAGAGCCGATCAGCTGGAAAGCGGCACTGATCCTGGCACTTCCACTGAGCCCTGACAGCCCTGCAGCTCTAGCCATTTCTCGCTCAGGCTTGTGCGGTGCTGCCACTGGTTCAGCTCATTCCCCTCCCCTGATACCACTTTTCTAGGATGGTCGCGTACCACCTGCCAGGTACCCGTACCCCTGGTTGAAAAGCCCTGTTTTAGAAGACCGTGTTCAATTCATGGCCGTTTTCATTTGCTCTATGCAGGCGTCACCCTTTGGAACTACGAGTTTCTGCAGAAGGACCTGACCATCAAGCCTCAGCCCAAGACCGAATCGGAAATCATTGCGTCTGACAGCATTGACAATAAGGCCTCCGCCCTGGACATCTCAGCATCACTCAAGGCCAGTTTCCTGGGGGAACTGATTGAACTAGGAGGCTCGGCCAAGTATCTTCACGACACCAAGACGTCCAAGCAACAGGCCAGAGTCACCGTTCAGTACAAAACCACCACCAGATATGAACAACTGACAATGAAGCACCTGGGAACCCAGAATATCTCTCACCCATCAGTCTTTGAGCAGGGCACGGCCACCCATGTGGTCACTGCCATCCTCTACGGAGCCCAGGCCTTCTTCGTGTTTGACCGAGAAGTTTCTTCAACGGAGACGGTAAAAACGATAGAAGGAGGTCTCCAAGCTACACTCACAAAGGAACTATCTATCGGAGGAGGAGCAGAGGTCAAACACAAAGATGAGGAGAAAGAGAACGCTCTGAGGTTCAGTTGCAAGTTCCATGGAGACTTTTCTCTGGAGAAAAATCCAGTCTCTTTCCAAGATGCCATGAAAGTTTATGAAACTCTACCGAAAATGTTAGGGAATAATGGGGAGAACGCTGTGCCTATGAGGGTCTGGCTCTACCCACTGACCAAACTGGACAACAAAGCAGCTAAGATGGTCCGTGAGATCAGCGAAATGGTGATCTTTGATGCTGAAAAGATCTTGGAGGAACTCAACGAAATCTGGATGCAAAGCAACGATCTAGCCAAGGATCCCATTTGTGACACCTTCCCTGAGATCAAGAAGAAGATCGAACAGTTCAAGGACCTGTGCAAGCAACACAAGAGGACGTTCCAGAAAGACCTGGCCAGAGTGTTGCCTTCCATCCGGGGTGGAGGGCAGGAGGAAGGGACCCTGGTGGACATCTTGACGTCCGTCAACCAGTCGCCCTTCAACAGCCAAAAACTCCATGAATTTCTGGATGCCAGGGAAAGTGAAATTAACTTTGTCAAATCTTATCTGACTATTCTAAGTGAAATACAAGTTATCTCATCCAAGAACAAGCTGGAAGAGATAGTTCTTCGCCCCCAGAATGTATACGTTGTCTCCTTTACATTGACTTCTTTACATGAAGAGGAGCCGTTTCTGTTGCGCTTACGAGAGTTCTTGGCAAGATCAGCTAAGTCCACAAGTTCCACTCCTGGGGAGAAGAAAGGCATGGCCTGGTTTGAGAACAAGGAGTGGACCCGGAATGCTCGCCAAGCTGCCAAATCCATTCAAGACTTTTTCAGTATCAATCAATCAAATGAGAAGGTCCGCTTTGTCGTGGCCTCACTCCCAGATGTGGACACACCAGGAGCCTCAATATACCTTTATGAAGACGGAGAGCTGGTCAGCAAGAACTTTGAGTTGCCCTCACAACCTCTCCCTTTACAGATTAGCAAACTGAGACACAACAGCGTTCAGCTGAAGTTTCAGCCCGCTGAATATGGGAGGGCTGCCATCTCCGGTTACCTGGTAGAGTACAAGATTGCAGGGGAAGAAAACTGGAAGAACGTGAGAACAGAGGACGCAAGGGAGATGTTCCTGCTGAAAGATCTGCCTCCAAACACAGAGTACCAGATCCAGTATGCTGCTTGTTGCAAGCTGGGCCTTAGTAAAAGCAGTGATCAGAGCCCACCCATAAAGGCCCTTCCCACCAGCCCCCCTAAGAAATTAAGAATGGTCACCGTAGCATCTTCTCTCATCTCTGTGGCCTGGATGAGTCCCAGCTTCGTTGCCTCAGGAGTTGTAGTCAAGGAGTACAAAGTGGAGTACAGACTGGTGGAGGCTGGAGATGGGAAGGACCAATGGACTGGAAAAAGGACTGGGAGAAAAATTGAGTTTTACCCCATTGAAGGCCTGAAGCCCCAAACGGCATATAGAATACGGGTGTCAGCCATGTGTGACAATGGAGTGCCGAGTGTTGCCAGTGAGGAGGTGGAGGTCTCCACATCACTGGAGGAAGAAGATGCAAGAAACCTAGCCCACCAGTTCCTTCAGGAAAGCTCCATGGTGGAGGACAGACAGACATTAGTGTTTGCCCTTCCTCTGGAGAAAGTTCCCTCAGATGCCTCCACATCCTGTCTCAAGTACCAGCTTGGAAAGCAGAACTTGGAAGTGCCCAACAAAGTGATCCTGGTGATGGGAGCAACACAATCTGGGAAAACCACTCTGATCAACGGGATGATCAATTATATCCTGGGTGTCCAGTGGAAAGATAATTTCCGATACAAATTCATTCATGAAACCATCCAGAGAAGCGAAGCTGGAAGCAGGACGTCTGAAGTCACAGCCTACGTGGTGAACCATCAGAAGGGTTTCCAAATTCCCTATTCTCTCACAATAATCGACACCCCAGGATTTGGAGGCACAAGAGACGCAGAGCAAGACAAACTGGTTGACGAGCAGCTCTTGGAGTTTTTCTCCACCCCAGGGAGCATTGACCACATTGATGCCATCTGCTTGGTGGCCCAGGCCTTCCTTACCCATTCAACTCACACCCAGAAATGCGTCTTTGATTCCATGCTCTCCATGTTGGGAAAAGACATGAAGGATAACGTCCAACTCCTGGTCACCTTTTCAGATGGGGGGACCCCACCTGTCCTGGAGGCCCTCAAGGAGGCTGACCTGCCGTGTGCTCGGGACAAGTCGGGAACCTCTCTGCACTTCAGATTCAACTATTCAGCCCTCTTTGCTCACCGAGAAAGTGGAGGAAGCCATAATGCTGCTGCTGAAATGTCCTGGAAAATGAGCACCGAGAGCATGAAAAATTTCTTTGACTCATTAAAGATGCTTGAAAGGAAAAAAATCACCTTGACCAGGGAGGTCCTCAAGGGGCATCAGGAGCTGGAAGCTGCTCTTAGAAGACCTCCCCCTCCCAAGGTTGAGCAAGTGCACCCAAATAGTTTCCAGATCAGTATTGATCCCGTAGCCATTGGGAAGCCTTCCGTCTCCAGGTACCAGGTGGAATATCGGATCGCAGGAGAGAATTGGAAAAGTCTCCATGCCGAAGGTCCTCAGGATCAATTCACCCTGAAAGACGTCCACCTAAATCTCCAGTACCAATTCCGATGCGCTGCCGTAACTCAAGTCGGACTCGGTCAATGGAGTGAGGCGATCACTTGCATCTGCCCAACAGGGAGGCCTGCAGAGGTAACTTGAGGGTGGAGGACGAGGAAGGGGGGAGTATAATAGTCTGACACCTCTTGCAGGGTTCCTCCTTGGGTACCTCCCCCCACCCCCAACTCCAGGGTTTAAAATTTCCTGATATCTGGATCACCGTAGAGACTCCCAGAATCCATGCTTGTCTGGTTGCGAGCAGGGTTTGGAAGTCAGCCATGACGCCCAAGGACGTGGGAGCCGAGCGGGAGAGGCAGGTCTCTGAGCTGATGGAGACGGTGCCGAGGACCGTTTTGGAGAATGGAGGGAGCTACTACAAGTGTGAGGTCCATCCCGTGGGATTTCATAGACAGGAACGGGGCTGAGCGGGAGGACCACTCGGGAAATCTGCTGGAGGGGACCAGGTCTGATCCGAGTCAGCTAAGTTGGGAGTGGAGAAGAGTCAGAGCTGCTTGGGTCTGACAAGGTTGCTGGAGGACCAGGAAGGGACAACCTGGGCCAGTCAGGAGCAGCTAAAGCTCCAGAGAAGAGCGTCCCTTTCGAGCATGGAGCCAGCTGTGGGGAGCTGCCAGACACTTGGGATATCTGAAACCCCCAAAGGGCAGGATCCCAAGAGTGGAAGGGCTGCATGAATAGGGGAATGGGATGGGATTGGGGGAAGGATCAGATGGGTCAGCCTCAAGGGCAGTGAGGAGGGGGTGGCCCTTTTTTAAAACAAAAACCCCGTACAATTCCTGCTTGTGTCTTCTGGGGGAGGAGAGTTCCTGGCAACTTCCGAGCAAGGCAGCATTCTCCTTTGGCTGATTCCGTTTTGCTTCTCTTGCAGAAATCCCGGGTTTTGTGCTGCGCCATGTGTCTGGAAACGGCTGGAAGCATCCGAGGTAAAGCCTTGGGCCCTGGGGAGTGGGGCGGGAGCTACTGTCCTGGGTGGTGTCATGTGTCTGATTGACGAAACACTTCAAAGAACTTTCAGGCATTTTTTTTTAACCTAAAAAGCCTTTATTAGTATTACAGAGTGTCAGCACAGCATGGTGGATGCTAAGATCTGAATTTCCCTTCCTTTGCACATAACATTCCAGGCATTTCCCCTCCCCTATTTTGGGGTCATGATTCACATCTTCCAATTAACTTGGAGGGCAAAGATTCACTTCCGTTTCTTTTTTCCCGGCCTTTCCTTATTTTCTCCTCCCCTTTCCCTGTCACCTGATTTAACTCTAAAAATACCAGACAGGTCTGCATATATTGTCAAAGCAAGAATATTCAATATTAGCAGCATTGACAGGTGGAGGGAGAGGCTAGGGTGGCTGTACGCTGCTGACCGGTCCCCTTCTTCTCTTCTCTCCCCTTTGGGTTGTAGGGCCTGAACGGAGGATCGTCCTGGTGGGCAAATCCGGATATGGGAAAAGTGCGACGGGAAACACAATTCTGGGCAGCAACGTCTTCAAGTCTGACTGGTCACATGATTCAGTAACAGAGGCATGCCAAAAGGAGGAGACGCAGCTGAACGGCAGGAAGGTTGTGGTTGTGGATACGCCTGGCTTTCCCCACACCAGACATCCACACAAGGATATCGTTGCAGAAGTGAGCAAGTGCGTGACGTTTTGCTCCCCGGGTCCTCACGTCATTCTGCAGGTGATACGTTCTGGTCATTTACTCCAGGAAGAGGAGGAGGACGTGGCTCGTCTGATCAAAGATATTTTTGGCCCGAAAGCCAAGGATTACACGATCCTCTTGTTCACCCACCAAGAGAACCTGGAAGGTGAATCTCTTGAAAACTTCATATCTGACTGTGATGAAAACTTGAAGAAATACGTTGCTGAACGCGGGAACCGGTGCCTGGCTTTCAACAACAAGGCCGAAGGGGCAGAACGAGAGGCTCAAGTAGCCCAACTGATGACCATGATTGATGATCTGGTGGAAACGAACCGATACGCTCCTTGTTACACCGAAGACATGATGAACGTCAACGAAAGATACGACTCCTGGCTGTTTCCCTTTCCAAAAGAGACTAGAAAGTCCAATTCAGCTTCTGCTGCAAGGTGGCAACTCTGCAAAAGGCTACAGTCCTTCTGTTCTGTGTTCTAATCCAACCCGGGCCATGTGACCTCTGCAGAACCCGAGTCAGAGATTTGTGGTTGTACCACCCGTTAGCCAATTCCTTCTCTCGAGAACCCAGTGTCTTTCCTTGGAAGGCAGGACTTGATCTTCAAGGGCATGGGAAAATCCTGCCCGCCCGCCCCAGTTATCAACAGGCCCCACAGCCTAATTCTCTCCCATCCTGGGCCATGTCCCTTAGGAAGGACATGCTCTTTGGGGCTTCACACCTTCAAGATAGATAAGGCCAAGAACCCATCAGTGCAAGTAATATTAGAACTCGACTTTGTTGGTACAGATTATAGTAACAGAATCTTGAAAAGAACTCTCCTTCGCTCCCACTGGCACCAAAGAGCATCAAGGCAGGAACCTTGAGGTTCCTACTCACCTCTTCCTGTTTTCCTGGGGCGAATCCGTATTTTCTTATCTTTCCTTTCTTACAAAACAATCTATGTCTTTTGTGGAGACTAATGAGGCTCAGCCTAACCAGCTCTGTGCTGTGATGCACCCACAAGGCAGAGGGGAAGGAGGATGTTGTCCAATTGTCCTGGAGGAAGGGGACATGGAATTCAGTAGATGATACTCAATGGGCGGGTCAGAATGTAGCGTCTCCTCCAAAGTTTTTCACACTGGGTCCAGGAAGGGGGTCCTTTTGGGTGGAAATCAGGTCCTACTTCCAATCTCTTAGCATCTTTCAGCGCCCCTGCAGATGCTTCTCTTCACCAACTTGCTTCTATCACCAGGGGGGATCATGCTCATCATCATGATAATCGTGACTGATCACTCGTTGCTTGTACACACACGGAGAGCTTCCGCACTGGAGACGCCAAATTCCTTGTGTGTCCAATCACAGTTGGCCAATAAAGAATTCTATTCTGCTTATCATCACCCAGTCTCTCCCCTGCTACTGGTCCATCCGATCTGCAACCCTTCCCCACTTATGTTGCCCATAACTGGATCCCCACCCCTCCTCCCCCTTCCAATCCCAGTGTAAGAGGTAAATATATATTAGAAATTGCTTAAGGACATTTAATCTTAATAATCTTAGCTAAAATTTAAGGAGTGAGTTTAACAGTTATAAAATGGAGTGACGTAAGCTTTTAACTGTAGGAGCTTTGGCACATGCAAGATAGCTGTTTGTGGTTTATACAAGTAGGTCAACTAAAGCTAGGCTTAACCGCAAGCAGAGGAAACACAAAAATAAAAATAGAGCTTAGGCTAGCAAAAGGTTATAGTTAAACGGTACAACAGGTGCAAGGGGCTTTTTCCTGGGAGGGTACGAATAACATTTATTTCGTTTAGGCGCTTGGGGTTAACTGATCGAGATAAGCCGGTGGGCTGTTGAGTGCGATAGGGGTGGGGGGGAACCAGCTTCGTGTGAGGATATAAATATGTGCTTTTAAAAATTTTGGGTGCGGCCTTTTCTCCTTCGTGAGTTAGGTCCACCAGCTTTTGCAAAAGCTTTCTTTCAATAAAAGTTTGTTCCTGGAATCCAAAGTGAGTCTGTTTGCCTTTGGAAACCTGAGTCATGTTCCAAACACCAGGGGCTGAGCAAGTTGCTGCCTCTAAACAGCAGGAAAGTGAAAACGAAAGTGCTCGGGCTGCCTGGAAATCAAGCGGTTGAAGAAAAGGTCCAGAATGACCCTCCGCCCAGCCGTTTGGCAGCTCTCACCCTCCACCCCAGCAACCTGAGTTGAATGCGGCTGGCTAAAATTCGGAGGGGGGGGAGAGAAATAGCCCCTTATTAGTAACCCATCACATTTCTCTCTCTTCTTTATTCTTCTCATTGTTTCTCTTATTCTTTCTTTTTCTCATTCTCTCTCTTCTAATTCTGTCATTCTTTCATTCTCTTTCTCATTCTCTCATTCTTTTTCTCATTCTAATTCTGTATCATTCTGTCATTGTTTCTCATTCACTCTCAATCTTTTTCTCATTCTCTCTTCTAATTCCGTGTCATTCTTTCATACTCATTCACTCTAATTCTTTCTCTCATTCTCTCCCTCATTCTTTCTTTCTCATTCTCTTCTAATTCTGTATCATTCTTTTTCTCATTCATTCTTTCTCTTTCTCTCCCTCTCTATTCTAATTCTCTCTCTCATTCTTTCTCTCTCTTCATTCTCTCCCTCTGTCTGTCTCTCTCCAGACACACAGTGCTGTTTCTCCTCAAAAAGACTATTTTAGGGATGAAATCATGAGGGAAATCATTCTTTTTCTCATTCACTCTCTCCCTCATTCTTTCTCTCCCTCTCTATTCTAATTCTCTCATTCCTTCCCTCTCCTCATTCTCTCTCCCTCTGTCTGTCTGTCTCCATACACACAGTGCTGTTTCTCCTCAAAAAGACTATTTTAGGGACGAAATCATGAGGTAAATCATGAGGTAAATGGACGGAGCACAAAAGGGCGGCCAGGAGGGAAAAAAAGGCAGGAAAAGGGGAAACTCCCCCTCAGCACAGATAACCAGACAGGAGAGCTGGCCCTCTCCAGCCAATCAGCTGTAAGTGGGCGTGTTCTGGCTCACCCTGACGACCCCTCCCTGTGTGGCTACTGAATTTACAGGAGCTCCGCAGTTGGGGGGGTTTGGGGGTGCCCCCTCCCCTGGGTCCCAGCACCCCCCCTGCAATGGGTCCTCCCTGCAACGGGCCACGTGACTCCCCCCTCCCTCTTCTGGACCCTATTCTGCAACTGGGCCTTCTGCTGGGCAAGGCTATGGGGCCTAGTGGTTGCCTGTTGCGCGATTGGAGGTTTCCATTCTTTATTTAAAAAACTGTATTCCTATTTTGAGGGTAAGCCCCTCGGAGCCAGTCTGGAAACTGGGCATTTAAAAATAGGAAGGAAGGAAGGAAGGAAGGAAGGAAGGAAGGAAGGAAGGAAGGAAGGAAGGAAGGAAGGAAGGAAAATGAGTGGATGGATGCATGGGAGGAAGTAAGGAAAGAAGGATGGAGGAAGGAAGACAGGAGGGAGAGAAGGAAGATGAGGGAGGCACAGAAGGAAGGGGAATGGATGGGAGGAAGCGAGGAAAGAAAGTTGGGAGGGAGGGAGCAAGGAAGAAAGGAAGGAGAGAAAGAAGGGAGACGAGGGAGGCAAGGAAGGAAGGAGAATGGATGGATGGGAGGAAGGAAGAAGTCCCACCATTCCATTGCCCAGGCTAAGATCAGTGGTGACCTCCATAAAATGGTGCCATAGAATTGCAATGGGATAGAGCAGCCTATGGGTCAACCTATGGGTCACGACCCATAGTAAGAATGCACCCCCCCATCCCTTCCCTGTACCCTTAAAGACACAGGAATCAAGTGCAAAGCAAGAAAATAACTCCGGTGTTTTGTTTTGTTTTGCTCTTTAAGCTGCCTCAGGCGTGTCACGGGTCACAATGTTGCAACTCTAGACTGAAAGGCTCCGGCAATTGCGAAAAGCTTTAGCTTTAAATTAAGCCGGTTTACTTTCAAAGAAAACTTTCTAAAAGCCACAGACAGACTCAATTAAAAGGGATAAAACGAATTACCACCTGTTTAAAGCGATTAAACCTTTCCTGTTGTCTTTTTCCCCTTCCCCCACCCAAACCACGTTCTTTTATAGCAGCAGTTCTCAACCTATGGGTCGCGACCCCATTTGGGGTCGATCGACCATTTCACGGGGGTCGCCAAGCAAGGCTGTCCGCCATTTTTTTCCCCTTTTCCGGCGGGTGCCTTACCTCCCTTGGGCTGGGCCAGCTGGTGGTCGGCCTGCTCCATCTCTGCCGCTTGCCAGCTACGCCTCGGCCGGCGCAGGGGGCGGAACCATGCATGCGCGGCGCTCCCGGGCAGGGAAAGTCCTCGACTTACGACCGGTTGGGTAGTCCTCGACTTACGACCGGTTTAGTCCTCGACTTACGACCGGTTGGGGGTCGCGGCATTAAAAAGGTTGAGAACCACTGGGATAGAGGTTATCTTTCGATATCTAAGGAAGCTAACCATCAAACTGCTTCCCGTATAACTGTGGTGAGATAGTCTCGGGTTCCTTCAACGTTCCTGAGGAAACGTTCTCTGGCTACACGTGTTCTACTTTGTTCTGGTGTACCACAGTTGCCTTGCGAGCTCTCAGCCATTCCCCACTTAAAAGGGTTTTGCCTTACCATGGCCTGTCCTGATTCCATCCATCAATCAGAACAGATCTGGAAGGAATCTTGGAGGTCTTCTAATCCAGTCCCTGCTCTAGAATGGAATGGAATAGAGCTAGAAGGGACCTTGGAGGTCTTCTAGTCCAGCCCCCTGCTCTAGAATAGAATAGACTCTGGAAGGGACCTTGGAGGTCTTCTAGTCCAGCCCCCTGCTCAAGCAGGAGAATCTATACCAGTGATGGCGAACCTTTTAGAGACCGAGTGCCCAAACTGCAATCCAAAATCTACTTATGCATCGTCAAGTGCCGGGTGGGTGTGGCCCATTGGGTGGGCGCGGCCAATTGGATGAGCGTGGCTGCGGTGATCACGGCAGACTGGGTGGGACTAAAAAGTTCAATCAATCAATTCCAACTTTGCAAGATCTTTTTTTTTCCCCACAAGAAGTTGAAATTGACTGAACCTTTTTTTTTTTTTTGCACACGGCGGCAGAAGCCTAAAGCGAAAAGGTTTTATAAAACCCAGCTGAAGGCCTAGGTCTGGGGCGACGCTGCGCGTGCCCACAGAGAGGGCTCTGAGTGCCACCTCTGGCACCTCTGCCTTCCTTTGGAGAGTGGTTGAAACTAGGGTCACCTGAGTAGCGCAGATGTTTGTGGAGCCTTCTTCTGCGTGGAGGCCGCTTCCGGAAGTCCGTTCTGGGCCTGGGCAACAAAAAAAATTAGCTACCGGTTCTGCCGAAGTGGTGCGAACCGGCTGAATGTCTACGGAGGTCCTCAGATGTTGAGACTCTAGAAAGAGTGCAGA